AAGAAATAGGTTTTGGTTGCAAACTTACAGAAAAAGACCCTTGGATGGCGATCTGAGGCAGGGATGGGGAATAGCCTGCCTCCAGGGCTTACAAGGCCTGCAAAATCATTTGGTCTGGCCCTGACAAGGCAACTGCAGGCAGGACTTTCAATACATCTGTAACAGGCTAAGTTTTTTTTTTTAGAGATTTATTTATTTATTTGAAAGTCAGAGTTACACAGAGAGAGGAGAGACAGAGAGAGATCTTCTATCTACTGGTTCACTCCCCAGTTAGCCGCAACAGCTGGAGCTTTGCCGATCAGAAGCCAGGAGCCAACAGCTTCCTGCGGGTCTCCCACGTGGGTGCAAGGGCCCAAGGTCTTGGGCCATCTTCTACTGCTTTCCCAGACCATAGCAGAGAGCTGGATCAGAAGTGGAGCAGCTGCGGCCGGCGCCGTGGCTCACTTGGCTAATCCTTCGCCTGCGGTGCCGGCACTGTGGGTTCTAGTCCCCGTTGAGGCGCCGGGTGCTAGTACTGGTTGCTCCTCTTCCAGTCAAGCTCTCTGCTGTGGCCTGGGAGGGCAGAGGAGGATGGCCCAAGTGCTTGGTCCCTGTACCCTCATGAGAGACTGGGAGGAAGTACCTGGCTCCTGGTTTTGGATTGGCCCAGCGCCGGCTGTGGTGGCCATTAGGGGAGTGAACCAACTGAAGAAAGACCTTTCTCTCTGTCTCTCTCACTGTCTAACTCTGCCTGACAAAAAAAAAAAAAAAAGTGGAGCAGCCAGTCTCAAACCGGCGCCCATATGGGATGCCGGCGCTTCAGGCCAGGGTGTTAACCCACTGTGCCACAGCATCGGTGTAACAGGCTAATTTTTAAGTTGATAATTTTATATGGTCTACAAATTATATTATAAATATGTATGGCCTTGGCAGGAAAAAAAGTTCTTCACCCTGGCATAAGGGCTATATTGGAAGCCAAGGCTAGTCTGGATAGCTTTTCTGGTAGGCAGTCTGTCCACTCTAGTTTGCAGAATTGCTATTGCATAGTTTAGAAGGGTTGTGGAAGTGGTCTCCTTCCTGTGCCTTAGGTAATGCCTGCAGTGTGGCTATCTAATTCCATTGTCTAAAGAGTGAAAAGTCATCTGTAGAGCAGATATGGTTCCTTGGGATTTTGCCTCTAGCCAGAGAGTTTGCACTTCTGAATGGGACAGATTGCTCCTCTCGCCCTGAGGACAGCAGATCAGTTAATGGAGTTGTCTCTTTTTTTTTCCCAGTCACTTTTCCTAATGACTTTCTCCTTTTGATTACTTAGGAAGGGGGAAGTTGGAATAGGGAATCCTTACCATGAAACTGGAGAGAAAGTTCTAATTGATCACATCCTAATGGGGAGTGAAGAAGAAACTGAAAACTAATTAGTATGAGAGCCCTAATAAAAAGGGATTTATTAGTAGTTAAGTGGAAATGGACTTAAGGTTTCTGAGAAGACTGGTGTTCTGGAGCTGTGGATGGTAGTAGATGCTGGCAGGGACTGGGGATGTGGGGAAAATTTCTTAGGACTCTTTGGTGACTCTTGAGGATCAATCTTTGAGATTGGGCTTGAGAACCCAGGGCCCCAGATATCTGGGACCCAAAGTTTTGCCTGGAAATAGAGAACTATACTGTAAGGCAGAATGTAACTGGCAGAAGAGAGTGGATACATGAAGCTTTGAGGTCTAAAGGGTTGAGACCAGAAGCAAGAAGGCCAGGTAGTAACAAGATCTGGAATGACAGATCTCTGGGAATTGGAGGGTGTTTCAGATCCTTTCAAGTAACAGGGGTATAGTATTGTGGAAGGTTGGTGAGACTATGCCTTTTTCTTGCAGGTTTTGTTCTGGTTCCTTCCTGGAGCCTGGCAAAGAACAGGTTTGTGATATATGTCACTGAGTGAAGAATTTCAGTGAATTATTTCAATTTGTTTACTTATGTGCCCAGCTGGGGCCCTATTGATGGATGAAACTCTACAGAGGTATGGGTTGTCTCCATGTTTGATTTAAGAAACTTTATTTTGAAATAGTTTCAAGCTTATAAAAAATGAAGAATAATAATGGCATAAGGCATTCATATTCCCTTTACTCAGATTTGCCTATTGGTAACATTTTGCTCACTTTGTACACACTCGCTCACTCTCTCCATATAAGTATGCATGATATTTTTGTTCTGAACTAGTTGCATCTTTCATGGCAGAGGCAGTGTGTGTTCAGTAAGAATTGGGATGTCTCCTATATAACTATAATAGTTATCATTCAGCACTGATGCTTTGAGCTACTATCTGTAGTCTAATTTTATCATTTAACTCAATCAATCCTTTTTTTCAAAAGAAGTTTCAGTGAGGTGTAATTGATGAACAATGACTCATACATATTTAAAATGTACAATTTGGTATGTTTTCGCATATGTATACACTTATGAGACTGTCAAGGTAATCAACATACCCACCCTCCCCCAGATTTCCTAGTGCCCCTTTGAAAAACTTCCCCAGTGGCTCTCTCTTCCACTATCCTCATGTAACCACCAATCTGCTTTCTCTCACTATATATGAGTTTCTGTTTTCCAGAGTTTTATATAAATATAATTATTCCTTTGAAAATATTTTGTTGTTTATGTTTAGTGTAATTATTTTGAGATTTATTCCTATGTTGTACGTATCAGTAGTTTGTCCATTTTATTGCTGATTATTATTCTATCCCATGGGTAAGCCACAATCCATATTCCTCTGAAAAGGTTTTTTTTGTTATTTCCAGTTTGGGGTGATTATGAAGAATATTGCTGTAAACATTCCAATATAAATTTTTGTGTGACTGTGCATTTTCATTTCTCTTGGTTGTATACTTAGAAGTGTGCTTTCTAGGTCATATGTTTGACAAACTGTCCAATTGTTACAAAAGGACATTAGATCTATACCATATACCATATATAACAATTCACTCAAAATGAATCATAAATCTAAATATAAAAGCTGAGACTATAAATCTTATAGAACAAAACATAGGGAACAATCTGTGATTTGAGGTTAGGCAAAGATTTCTTAGATATAATACCAAAAATATGATCCATTAAAGAAAAATAAATCCCTGATAATTGAACATAATAAATATTAAGAATTTTTGTTCTTCACTTGATATTAAGAGAAAAGGACACGTTTTTTGAATTTTTGCCAGTCTGATGAATGAGAAATATCTCAGGATAGTTTTAATCTATATTTTTTTCTTATTTTGAGTGAAGTTGAATATTTTTTCATGTCTTAGAACCATTTTAATATGTATTTCTTGTAGCTTATCTGTGTTTGGCCCATTTTCTGTAGAATTTTTGGTCATTTCTCCTCCGTTTTTAAACATTCTTCATCTGTTAGGGTTTTGAGTCTTTATTTGTGATGTACAAAGTAACAATTCTCTCCCAGTTTGTCATTTGTCTTTTGACTTGCTTATAATATTTTTATTCATACAAAAGTGTTTCATGTACAGAAATGTAGAAGTCTTTTTTAAATTGTGTTTGGATTTTGAATAGCACCTAGAAAGTCTTTGTCTACACCCAGTTTATAGGGAAGTTTGCCTGTGTTTTTTTTTTCTAGCACTTCTGTAGTTTTTATATATGTATATCTGATAAACTTGATCTTCTCTATAATAATTTTAATTTTAATTTGTTTCAAAATGGCTAAATAGTACTATAAGACTGCTAATTAGACCATCTTGGCCCCATTAATTCTAAATAGCACCTTTATCATACACTAGATTTCCATGTATGGAGGATCTATTTCTGGAGTTAAATTTTATCCCATTGGATGATCTGTTTGTTTATGTACCTGCACCATAGTTTTAGTTATGGAGGCTTTGTAAATGTGATATTTTAATACATGACAGGGATAGTCTCTCTTCATAGCTCATTATTTCATTTATTTTCCTAGTCGTTCTTATGTGTTTCATTTTTCATTGTCAGTTTTGGTAGCTCCATAAAAAAGTATTTTTATTGATATTTTTGATGATGTTTAGATGTCCTAACCAAGAACAAAGGGTGTTCAAATCCTTGTGTCTTTCAGAATATGTAGCTTAGTTCATGTAAGTTTTAAATGTTGTTAAGCTTATTTCTAAATGTTTTATCATTTTCATAGCTTTGGCATGCAGGTTTATCTTATCCATTATTTCTTCTAGTTATTTGTGGATATGAGGACTGATTTTTGTATGCAAATTTTTTTGCCTTTCTCAGTTCTTTGGTGTAGGTCTATCATGGATTCTTCTAGAGTCCTCTAGGTGTATTTTTAGTATCAGCAATTGGATATAGTTTTGCTTCTTTTTCATTTCTATCTTTAATTGTTTTCTGTAGTTCAGTTGCATTGGCTGATACCTCCAACACAGTATTAAATACCCTTGGAGATCTTGCGCAGCTTGGATTTGCTCCTGACATTCATGGGAATGCCTTGTGCTTTCTTATTAGGTAAGGTGCTGACTTTAGTCCTAAGGTTTTTTTTTCAAATCAGTAATTTTAGGGCAGATTGATTTGATGAATGGGAGGCAGATTATCTCACCCCGTATTCCTCTCCCTAAACTCCAGATGGAAGATAGGAAATAAAAGGGAAAAGGGGAGCTAGAGTTCTTTTATATTTTCCTTCCACCAACATCATCCTCTACTTTCCCTCAAACCTCAATTGCTTTTCTGAGACTCATCAGCTCATTTTGGGTTGGTGGAGCAGAGTATCTTCCTAATCCTATTTTCCAGTGCAGGTTGACTGTCTTAATAAGGGAAAAGGTAGCTTTTCTTTATGAGATCTCTAAGTCAGCCTCCTACTTTCCCTTTCCCTCATGTTTTTACCTGTTCCTACTGCTAACATTCCTTTACTCCATATGGGTATGGGGCCTCATTCCTTTTTGGTGAATGTTGTTTTTATCTTTCTCTCCTCTCTAGGTGTATGGCTGCTTTCTGATCCTGTAGCATAGAGGAAGCATCTCTAGAATTGTGGGAGAGTGCACCAGGTAAGCCAACGGCAGCCTCAAGTCATACCTTTGCCTGCCCTCCCCTGTGGGGGCCAGGATGCTGAAGAAGCAGTCTGCTGGGCTTGTGCTGTGGGGTGCTATCCTCTTTGTGGCCTGGAATGCCCTGCTGCTCCTCTTCTTCTGGACACGTCCAGTGCCTAGCAGGCTGCCGTCAGACAATGCTCTCGATGATGACCCTGCCAGCCTCACCCGTGAGGTGATCCGCTTAGCTCAGGATGCCGAGGTAGAGTTGGAACGTCAGCGGGGACTGTTGCAGCAGATTAGGGAGCACCATGCTCTTTGGAGCCAGCGGTGGAAGGTGCCTACTGCAGCCCCTCCTGCTCAGCCGCATGTGCCTGTGACCCCACCGCCAGCTGTGATCCCCATCCTGGTAATTGCCTGTGACCGCAGCACCGTCCGCCGCTGTTTGGACAAGCTACTGCATTATCGGCCTTCAGCTGAGCTGTTCCCCATCATTGTCAGCCAGGACTGTGGGCATGAGGAGACAGCCCAGGTCATTGCTTCCTATGGCAGCGCAGTCACACACATCCGGCAACCTGACCTGAGCAACATTGCTGTGCAGCCCGACCACCGCAAGTTCCAGGGCTACTACAAGATCGCACGGCATTACCGCTGGGCATTGGGCCAAATCTTCCACAATTTCAACTACCCAGCAGCTGTGGTGGTGGAAGATGATCTCGAGGTGGCACCAGACTTCTTTGAGTACTTCCAGGCCACTTACCCACTGTTGAAAGCAGACCCCTCCCTCTGGTGTGTGTCTGCCTGGAATGACAATGGCAAAGAACAGATGGTAGACTCGAGTAAGCCAGAGTTACTCTACCGCACAGATTTCTTTCCTGGCTTAGGCTGGTTACTGTTGGCTGAACTCTGGGCTGAACTGGAGCCCAAGTGGCCCAAAGCCTTCTGGGATGACTGGATGCGCCGGCCTGAGCAGCGAAAGGGGAGGGCCTGTGTGCGTCCAGAAATCTCAAGAACGATGACATTTGGCCGCAAGGGTGTGAGCCATGGGCAGTTCTTTGACCAGCATCTCAAGTTCATCAAGCTGAACCAGCAGTTTGTACCCTTCACCCAGCTGGACCTGTCGTACCTTCAGCAGGAGGCCTATGACCGGGATTTCCTTGCTCGTGTTTATGGTGCTCCCCAGTTACAGGTGGAGAAAGTGAGGACCAATGACCGGAAGGAGCTAGGAGAGGTGCGCGTACAGTACACAGGCAGGGACAGCTTCAAGGCTTTCGCCAAGGCCCTGGGTGTCATGGATGACCTCAAATCAGGTGTACCCAGGGCTGGATACCGGGGCATTGTCACCTTCTTATTCCGGGGCCGCCGTGTCCACCTGGCGCCCCCTCAGACTTGGGATGGCTATGATCCTAGTTGGACTTAACAGCTCCTGCCTGTCCCTTCTGGGCTCCTTCCTTGCAATTTCATGATCTAAGATGGGACCGTAGTCCCTGGGCTGCATTGTCTTTTCTGTCTTTCCCTCTTGGGTCCATTTTTTTTTTTTTTCTTTTTTGAGTGGCATTTGAATACACAGATGACAAGGTGAGGGTTCTTTTGTTAAAGGAGTTAGATCAGGGAAAGCATTCTGCTGTCTGTTGGGTATCAAGCAGCAAACCACTGTGTGATAGGGGAAGAATGGGCTTTTTGGGGCCAGAAATATCCATGTTCTGAGTTTTTCTCTTAGGTCATCTGCAGAGGAGTTGGCAACTTTAGCTTTCTTAACCAGGCCTTTTCTTTCTGACCTGAGAGCCAGGGCATGAGACTTCTTGTTCATGCTCCTTTTTACCTTCCCCTAATAAGGGTCTGGGCTACAGGAGAAGTGAACATATTGTGGCCAGAATAATACTAACCAGAGGGGCCTCATTGTCAGAGTCTAGGTGCAGTTATTGGGTTGTCAGAGTTAATGCCTTCTGTTCTTCTTTCCTTATTCCTGACTTCTGTCAGCTCTTCTTTCTTTGCAGCCTAGCAATTTTTGGTTCTAAGATGAAAAATGAAGAGGAAAAGAAATATTCGCATCCAGCTATTGGGAGAAAGGTAGTGGGAAAAAAACTTCATTGTACCACTTCAAAGAGACACTCTTGACCTCTTCCTTTCTAAAAATTAGTCCCCTCCCTGTTGCTTCAGGAGAATGCTGTGCTGGTCAGTTCTGTGTGATCCTTCTTCCCTGAGTTTTGTACACAGGCTCCTCCCTAAGGCTGTGGCTTCTGGTGGCCCTCCTGACATAAGTTACAGTGGCCAAGACCAGGACAACTCCGGCCATGAGCTAGGTCCTGCCTACCTTCTCCAAAACATTCCCATGTCCTCACAGGCTAGGATGCAGATGTTGGTTGGAGAGGAATTTGTGTGTGTGTGTGTGTGTGTGTGTGTTTTCTTGCCTGACCTCAGTTTCATGGATGAAAAGTGGAAGCTACAGAATTATTTTCAAAAATAAAGGCTGAATTGTCTGAAAAATATTTGTGCCTGTGTTTATATATCCTGGAAAAGGAGGTAAAGGGTACTGAAAGAAAGGAAAAAAGCGAAGAAGAGGGTAAGTTGAAGGAAGGAAAGCAAGTGACTGGAAGAGAAAGGAGGGAGAAAAACCATGGAACAGTTGAAGAGAGGACTGGGATGGATTGATGGTGGAGTGTTGGGGGGTTCCCTGAAGCTCCACTCCTACTGGTAATCTGTACATCTTAGCTGTGAAACCCTCAGTGGCATGGTGAATCCCTTCCTGCTTCTAGGGAGCTCAGTGGGCCTGGTCTGGGAGACAACCCGTTTTTTTAAACTCAGCTCCTCCCTCAGAGTAGATGCTTCATGCTGAGTGCTTTCTGTTGGCTCAGGCTGCATATATATCTACCAGGGAGTCCCAGGATGCATTGCTTATGCCAGGATTTGCTACAGGAGGAACATTTAGACTCCTGACTGTGATCTCAGTAAGAATGACTTGGACACCAACAATCTGGACACAGATACACAGGAAATAAATGTTTCTTGAGATTTTATATGCCTCTATTATATCCAACACATTCTGAGTTTCTCTTTTGCACTATATATATATATATATATATATATATATATATTTTTTTTTTTTTTTGAAGTGCTGCTTTTGACTCACTGACTTGATTTCATTCGTGGGTTTGGAAACCCCAGGCTAAGTGACTTTGTTCACAGAAACCAGGAACTTTCACACCAGATGGTGGCAGTCCCTGAGTGCTCAGGGCAATGAGGGTGGGGGAGATATTTGTGACTACCTCCCTTCTGGATTCAGGAATAGGAATTATAGAAAGGAAACCGACATCATGTGTTCATTTTAACCTTTTAGGTTTGTGTGGTGTTAGTTTTTGCCTTCATATGTTGTTTTTAGACATGATTTAACCTTAGTTTTGATTAAATAAGGGAGATAGTTATTATCCATTATTTCCAGATAGAGAAATAGGCCCAGATTGGAGCTTTATCTTGCCTAACACAATTGAGCTGAAATAGTTTGGCTTCTAGACTCAATACTGTTCACACTTAATTTAGCAATAATTGCTAACCAAGTGTACTGTTCTAAGTGGCCCATAATTAATATGGTTTCCCCTTTTATTCATGGCTTTGCTTTCCATGGTTTCAGTTACCTGTGGTCAACTGTGGTTTCAAATATTAAATGGAAATACATATTCCAAGCAAATGATCCTCCTGATGTGTTGTCAGAAGATCTGTAGTAGCCTAATGTCTGTCATTCACCTCATTTTACCTCATCATGTAAGCTTTGTATCACATCATGATCATAAAGAAGGGTGATTATGTTACAACATTTTTGAGAGAGAAATCATATTCAGTGTTATTACAGTGTGTGGTTATGTGTCTAATTTATAAATTAAACTTTATCCTGGGTATGTATGTCTAGGAAAAAGTCTATATAGGGTTTGGTACTACAGGGTTTTGAGCATCCACTGGGGATCTTGGAATGTAGCCCCCATGAGTAAAAGAAGGCTGCTCTATCAGCTTATTTTGCCCTCAAAGCAATCCTGAGTGGTAAGTACTTTTTTGCTTAAGTTTCATCACTAAGGAAACAGGTACTTAGAGTTAATTTGTCCAGTGTCACAAAGACAGATTGGATTTAGGATTTGAATGAAAGCTGTGCTACTCCCACTGTGTGATGCTGGACTCTTCCATTCTAGCCCTTACTGTCTACCTCAGAAGTTCCGTCTCCAGCAGGTGTCCCCTGCTGAGGGTGGTGCTTGAGTTGGAGGAAGGCACAGGAGACATGGAGGAGAGCCTGAGGCTTGTGGGGTCCAGAAGAATACTTTTATAAGATAGCTTGGTTTCTCCTGATGACAAGGGACACTTTTAGGGTCCATTTATATTATTTCTATCCCTTCTGATACATGTTGTCAGGCTGCCATCATTTTGTCAAGATAGCCTCAGGTGTCAATCATATGTTCATTGTTGCTGCCTCTTAGGAACACCATGTTCCTGTGGAAACATCAAATGGAAAAGCATCCAGTCAGTAAGTGCTGTAGAATTCTTCTAACCTTGATTTTGGAAACTTAAAAGATAATTCCATAAAGATCACTATATTAATGTTTCTCATTGCTTAAACAAAATACCTGAGGAAGACTACTTGGGGAAAAAATAGATTATTTAATTCACAGGTTTACAGGCTGAGAGTCTAAGAGATTGATTGGTTCTATTGATTTGGCCTCTACTGGTAAGGGCCTAATTAGCTGGAGGTTATGGGAGCAGGTGTGAAAGTGAGACATCACATTGTAAAACAGGAAGCCAAAGAGGTGGGAGTGGGCAGACTTCCTCCATTTGTAGCAACTCTCTTAAAAAAAAAAAAATTTACTTGAGAGGCAGAGCTACAGACAGAGGGAGAGACAAACAGAGGGGTCTTCTGTCAGCTGGTTCACTTGCCAAGTGGCTGCAATGGCTGGAGCTTGGCCAATCCAGAGCCAGGAGCTTCTTCTGGGTCTCCAACATGGGTGCAAGGGCTCAAGCACTTGGGCTATCCTCTGCTGCTTTCCCAGGAGCATTAACAGGGAGCTGTATTGGAAGAGGAACAGCCAGGACTCAAGCCAGCATGCATATAAGATGCCGGCACCACAGGCGGAACATACTATTCCATAGTGCTGGCTTCTGTAACAATTCTCTCTGAAGAACCAACTTAAGGTCTCACAAGACCTATTACCCTTTTAAGGGTAAGGACCTCCTGGTAGACTCATCTCTTAAAGGTCCTCCTACCTCCCATATCACAGGGGGCAGAGCCTTCAACTTTTGAGCCCTTGGATATACACAAATCCATAGCCAAACCATTGCAGTCATCTACTTTGATCTTTCTGCATTTCTGCTTTGATTTACACCTGTGACAAATACCCTTTCTTCCTCCACCTCCTGCTCATTCTTGGTCTTGAGGGCTTCAGGACTACTAACTCTTCTTTCCTTTCTTACCTGCATCATTGTGGTGGCATGTCACTTGTAGAGTGAGTCACCTCCAGTGTAGACAAATGTGTTAGGTAGAGTCTGGCCAGAACTTTCTTTTGTAGACTCCCTAATGAATAAGAGCCCTGCGAGGGTTGGGTTTTAAGACATGACTCCAAGCATTGGATTGTGATGACAAATGCTATGTTCAGTTTCTTCATAATCCTTCTTGGTGTGGCATACTTGGTAGAACTCAGTTGTGGAAGCCAGCATTGATCCTCCAAACTAAACTGCATATCATTGCACGTGGTGTGTAATGACTTGTACATCAATAAGATTTGGTCCAATCTACCGCCACTCAATTCTTCACTTAATTTCAGCTTGGCATCTACGGTTCTTTTCAAATCTCTTTGCAAACAATGTCCGAAGTCCCTGAACATCATTGAACCTCCAGAGAGGACAATATTCTTGTAGAGAGGATGTCTGACATAAATAGGGCAATTCTGAATTACTTCATCTACAACTTATGAGATAGGTTGTGCAAAATCCAGATTAGCAAACTCTGGGTGAAAAAAGATTTCAGGTCCCAGAAATCTCTCATAACCAACATCAATGGAAAGTTCTTTGTTAGAGAAAGCATTGATGCCAGTGTACTGCTTAATCCTCTTTGACCAATCTGTGTTCATACTTGTTAAATTCCTTTACTAAATCTGGGCAGACATAACTATAGTGCTCCTTTATTGCCTTAACACTTTCCAGGGATTGTTCTAGAGGGATTCCTACTTCTTTGTCTCAGCAGTTGCTGAATAAAATATGTTCTATCTCGTCCTGAAATTGGAATGTGTTTAATAGACTGCCAATCATATATCCTTCAGTCACAGGAATAACATGAGTGACATCATCTTCACTGCCCATTACCGTACCAGTCAATGTCCACTCTACTTGTTTTGAGGTCTAGGATGCAGCTAAGGCAAGAACAGCCTGCACAGCAATGTACAAGCCTGGAACATTAAAAGACTCAAACATTATTTCAGTAGTATATTCCCTATTTTCTGGAGTGTTCAGTGGAGGATCAGTTAAAAGACGATAATGGCCTTCAGGTTCTGCCCTTAAATATTTAAAGATCACTTGTTCTATAAACCTTTCCATGAAATCCCAATCTTCAACTATAACATGATGAATCAGCCACTTTGTTGCATATGTAGGCTTTTCTATTGCCTCATCAGCAATGAAGAAGTCTAAGTCATCAACATCTTTCATCACCATCCTTTGAGCTTGATCATCCACTTTTGCTGACTCTCTAATAGCAATACTCCATGCCACAGTCCACCATGCAGGCTGGCAGCCCCCTTGCCATCTTCCTCCTCGCCTGCTGCCTCCGCTGCTGTCATCAACTCCGTGCTGATTGGAGCCAGGGATTGGCGGCAGGAGAGGGGAACTATCTGCCCATCCACAGCCAGGCGGCCCTCTCCGCCTGGGGGGAGGGAGTTGGAGCGGGAAGGCAAGGGTTATTAGCAAGCCGAAGCAGTTGCAAGAAAGTGGCAGGTTCCGTTGGTGGCCACCACTTCCGCGACCCAGCCAGCAGTCCCCACCTTGCTCTGCCGGGCCTCCTCCCCCTCTGTCTTCCTTTCTCCTCACTCCTGCTCCCACCATACAAACTTCTCCCTATCACACCGCCTTTCCCCAGGAAGCCAAGACCGCTAATTCTTTATAGGTCAGTGGTTTGCTACCAGCAGAGCTGTTGAGCTTCCATTTATTCTCCCACCCATTTTCTGTCTAGTATGGACAAGTCACAGGGACTTGCACCAGGCATTTGTCCTGCCAGAGTCTCTTCCTGTGGAGGCAGGGACAACAGTGCCTCTGTGTCAACGCAATATTAACAATGCCTGTGGAAATCTCTCCTTTGTTTTCCTTTTCCTTGTCTTTACCTTTGCTTCCCCAACACTTACAGCCCCTCCATGCTTGTCCAGATGGGAGCAAGTGCAGGGGTCTGCGCAGTAAGTATGGGCTTGTTATAACTTTCCTGTATCAGCTCCTTTGGCTTACATAGCTCCCTTGTTAAGACAGTG